CTTAACCAGTGTGCAGGGGCCGAGGCCACGCTGCTTTGCTTTTTTCACACGTGGATTCCATTTCTCTTTTTTTATACATACATTTTATTAAAAGTTTTAAAAAGGTTCCATTTCTCCTGCCATCTCCCAGTCAGTGTTCCAACTGACAAACAGAGCAATCAGCTAATTAAGATATTCATTATTTAAATAATTATTTTAAATTATTTAAATTATAATTATTTTATTTGTATGGTGGTTAATGAAGACCCAGGAGGGAGATGACTCTGGGTATATTTGAATCAGTGCCCTGGAGCCCTTGACTCACAGGGAGGATGCAGGATAAAAGCTGTGCTTGAATGAAATAAGTGGAAACAGTGCGCAGTGTTTTCAAAGAGTACATAGTAAACTGTAGGGCAGGGATTTTAACAGAGAACTACAAGACAGGAACAAAAGCACGAAGCTTTCTGCCCAACCTTGATTCCAAAGAAAATCAGATTTTCTTGACAACAATTCATTTTAGGGGGAAAAAGCCCACAGGTGCTGTAATTTGCACGAAAAATGGGATTCCTCATATTAATTTGAAAAACCAAAGCAACCTTACATGTAGTTAAGGCGGAATCTGGTTTGGCCCTATATTATTTAAACAATTAGGAGAGAGGTTTGTGGGGTTGGCTCACGTCCTTTGCCAGTTACTGAACAGCCAAACTTACGATTGTAGCACTAATATCGCAACATGCAGGGCAGCAGGAAAAAAGGCAAAAAAACCAAACCAAACCAAAAATCAGAACTGAAAGAAGTTCTGTCCTTTGTGCTTTGTAATCAAAACATGTGAATACGGTATTAAGGTATCACTTAAGGAGAAATACGTTATACAGAGGGGGGAGATTTCTGATTTTAAAAATAAACAAGCAGAGAAAATAGAACAATTTCAATAACTTTTAGGGTATCCGGATTAACTGGTGTCAAAGAATTTAGAGATGATCTTAGGGCAGGTGTGAAACAGCTATTAAGGGGGAAGAAAAGAACATGCCATTAAGAAGGAACTTGGAGAAGCCATTCACTTCTCCAAGTTCCTTCTTAATGGCATGTTCCTTTCCTCCCCCTTAATGGCTGTTTCATACCTGCCCCAAGATTATTCCCCCAATATGTGAAGGAAATGTGAGAAAGAAGCTCAAGATAATTGCACCTTGATTTTGTTTAGTATAAGATGAGACAGAGAAACTTGGATTGGCTTTCAAAATTGATGTCAGCCCTTCAAGCTGGGCCAGTGCAAGAAAAAGACACCTCAGGGATTCCAGGAATGCTACTTCATTGTTGAATCTTGAACAACTGTCCAATAACTCATTTCTTCCTTTTCCTTTAACAGTTCTTCCGTACCTTCCTCAAGGCCATCTCTAAACTCCTTTACAACCAGAAACAGAAATTTAACAGCAAGGATGACTTCCAGGTATTAGCTGATAATGAATGAGTCCACACTACCTTCACAGCTAAAGCACACAGAGCTTGTCAATGCTAACAATGACTTACACGTGTTGCTCAAGAGAAGACCATCTTTCTTACAAGCTATTAATAAAACACAGTTCCAGGAAACTACTAGGAATCAAAGGAACACTTTTATTGACATTATGAAGCTAAATAGACCTTCTGAAGAACTGATTTTTTTAAGCATTCAAGTTGGCTAGCTCTGGTTTAAAAGAGGCAATTTTTGCCCTGAATATTTCATTGCAAAACTACTCAGGCTAAGGGATATTGGAAAGGAGATATTGCAGGCATACTCAGTGTCTACTAGCTTGATCCGATAATCTGTAAACTGCTTGATAACTGTCCAGTAAATGCAGCTTGTGCTGGCAGTCATTTTGATAACTGGACCTATGGGCCAAGATATTTTAAATAAAACTTGGTTAAATCTGAAGGAATCTGATTTCTGCCCTTTCCTGTTGTACATGTAGCTTTGGCATGGTTGCTTGTCAAATATATACTGTACCTTTAGACCTTTTCTTGCAAATATATACCTCAGAGCACACTGTGATTAGATAACATGCAGGTTAACCTGTAGTGTTAACCTACAGGAAAGAGTTGCCTTAGGTGATTTTCAAACAGAGCTCCAGGCTCCTTCAGTGAGATTTTCAAAAGATGATGGTCACATTTCTCTGAAAGATGCTGTCTAACAGTCTCTTCTTATAGGAGAAATTTATACAAATTCAGTTTGCTTTCATTGGTGATAAGGGTCAATATAAACTGAGTGGGTGTCCTACAAGGTATTACAGAATCTTCTGCAATATGCAGAGATTCCTTGGCAGAAACTCAGGGTACCATCCACAGGCAAGTCAATGTCGAAAAGACACTTTGAAGCAAAAATTGTTGAAACAAGCATCTTGGACTAATTCTGAACCTTTATTTTAATACTCAGATCACAATCCTATTCTTCCTGGGAATAAGTCCCCCTGAACACAGTGTGACTTACTTTTGAATAAACATGCATAGAGCTACACTATTTATGGATTCAGCTTCTGCCATACTTAATACCTTCTCTCCCTCACCTCTTTTTTCTAAAATTGCAGATCAATTCCCAACTCACTCCCATGGCTACTGAAGAATAAATGTTCTCAGGGCAGAAAACAAAAACAGACATTTAGAATACCAAACTAAATATAAAACTAAAATCAATAAATCTACCAACAGGAGCTCATTAGTATAGCAAAGCAAAAAGCAGTAGAAAGAATGTAAAATGTATGTAAAATAAATAGGTCTTCAGTTGTTGTATACAAAAACAAAATAAAACTGTTTTCTCCAAGAAGTATTCCATTTAATATCTAACCACAATCTGCTTTCCTTTAATTTAAATATTCAATGTCCTGCATCTGGTAAAGAACAGGTTCTGATTTCTTCTGTGTGGCACCCTTTTAGGTATTTTGGTTTTCTCCTATCAAGGCTAAACATATCCAGCTCCTTCTATCTCTCTTCATAAGACTCAGTTTCTGTTCTTCTGACCATCCTTGCTTCTCTTTTCTGAACCAGATTCAGTTCTTCTGAATTGGAAGTGTGGAAAATGTTTTGAATTCAAAACTTTTCAAGCTTGAAATGGGATATTTCAATTATTCTGGAAGTGTTTTTCTCTTGAAACAGCTTAATTCAAAGAGATGTTTTAAGCTTGAAACTGGGCTGATTTGAGGTTGAAACATTCACAGTGGTTAAAAGCATCTGTTTTGAATTCAAAACAGCTGTTTGGAACTTGACCTTACTATGCTGCACTTTTCTTAAAAAATGCCCAGAACTGGACAGAATTGCCAAGGTGGTATCTGATCAAAGCAGAATAAAATGGAACAATGACTTCCCATGAATTGGAAGCAATGCTTCTGTAGATATAATCTAAAATTCCACTTGCCTTTTTTAAGGCTACATGACACCCCTGATTCAATGAGTTTGCAATCAACTACTACTCCAAGACCTTTTTCACGGGTACTGTTACTAAGCCAGGTAGCCTCCATCTGTTCTTTTGATTTCTGTTCCCTAAGTGAAGAACTTTTCATTTATCAGTCAAAATCATTTTGAATTTTATTTCTGTCTTTCATCATATTAACTATCCCATCCAGTTTATGTTATCTGCAAACTTGATCAGTATTTCCTTTGCTCCTTTATCCAAATCATTAATAAAAATATTGAAAGAGTTTAAGGTTCAGTTGTGAACCTTGAGATACTTCACTCTCAATATGTCCCTCTAGTTTGATGAATAACAATTTATGAGCATACTTTAAGTATGGCTTGATGCCAGCTATGTATCCATGTAATTGTTATTCTGTCTAGCTAACCTGTAAGTGGCTTGCTTATCAAACTATTTTGAAGTAATTTGTCAAATGCTTTGCTAAAATCAAAACAAAAGATGTCTTTTTAATTCAAGCGTGTTTATTCAAGGTGTGTGTGTGTCTTTTGGCATGTATTCATTCCTGCAGTGCCTCTAATCTCTTTTCCTCTTAACATTATGAATCCAGTTTCCCTAATATTTTTCCTAGCATAAGTTCATCTAAATAGCAAATTTCTTGGCCACAATAGACAATTAATTCAAGGCCACCGAAGTAAATTATACATCTTCCCCTGGTTAAACTGGTAGTCAAGGCACTCGGGTGAGCATATTGCTACAAGTGTGAGTTTCTAACCTTTAATTTCTTTGGACTTTTCTGGGTCAAAGTTTCTTCTAGCATTGTATACCCAAATGACAGTAATCTATAGAACTAAGCTTCCCATGACTGTCATTCATAAAACAGACAATTTTTTAAAATAAACTTTCCCAGTTCACTTTCCACCACACTGCCCCAAAAGGTTACTAACCTCTCCATCCTGGAAATGCTTCTTGAGTTGCTTCAGCATCAAAGTCAATTTTTTGGACTGTACTCCACTATAAGCCAGCAGCATGCTGCCAAACTGACGTTCTGTGATTCGGCCATTTACAGGGTCATGCCTTTCAAACTGGAAGACAAAAGGGAAAGAGAGAAATAACCAAGAACCTCTACATGGATTCACCTGCTCATATCGATACTGTTTATTCAAAAGTTCTCTTCCATGTGAAATCAAAGCAACAGAACAGAAATAGATAGAAGCAGATAAAAGCATCAGGAAAGAATTCCAACCATATTAAACACCATGGTCAACACTCCTATACTTTTAATTACAACATTAGTATACATTTAATATACAATATAGGTATAAAGTTGATATTAATGCATCAGGAATGTAATTATTATGTTGTATATTTAATGGAAGCCATAAAAGAACCACCAAGGTGAGCATTAATATTTCTTCTGAGCTATGAATCCTCTCATCTTAAGATTCTTAGAAGAATACTGCAAGATAAAATTTTGTTAGAGACATACTATATGTTACAGTAAAAAATACTAATGTTATCAGTTAAAACACAAACACTGGGAATATATTTGTAGTAAATACTTTAACTGTCTTGGGATTCTTATTCCATGTCATGTCTTGCAGATAACCACTCTAAAAATGAAGAAAAAGGAAAGGAAATCTCTTTGGATCTCAACAGATGGCAGTCTTTAAATCTTACATTTTGGGGCAAGATTAATACTCCTAAAATGAATGCTTTTCCTCGAATACTGTATATTTTACATGGAATTCCTATACATGCATCCACAAAATTTTTACAGAAATGTATTACATTGTTTCATAATATTTTGTGGGGATGTTTTTCTTAATACATACAATTTACCTTCATTAACCTTTCAATACACTAGTTCAAAAGATGAGATGGCTCTTCAAGATTGTCATTATTTCTTTCTCCCATCTTTTAGAGACAGAAAAACTTTGGAGCAATGAAAAAAAAGTTCCTCCAATCTTTTAAGTATTTTAAATGAAAAGGGGAAAAAAGTAAAACCTAGTTATAAATGCTTTTGTTTTTTAATAACATCCAGATCAGTTCAATTTAACCTTGGTTGGTCTTCAATTAATCAGTGTTTCTCAATGGTATTCACACAGACTTCCTCCTTTCAAGGAACAAAAACTGCCAATAAAGATACATGATACAGAAATAAACAGGCTGATGTTAGTGTGATAACCTGCTCTTCAGATTTTTGCCTTCACACTGTCAAAACCTCTCTGGAATAGTGTTATGGCACTTAAACAAGCCTGCAAGTTAATCCAAACTTATTCAACTGGCTGCAATTTGTCACTCAATCTGACAGCATTCAAGGTTTCTTAAACTTCAGAGATCCATCAAACACTCAACAATCAACACATGCCAAGGTCAACAAAATTGGGGGGGGGGGAAGATTGCAGAAGCATGCTATGTAACTGAAGCCTTATGTCTCAGTGAGGGTTTTTAAAATTTTTTTTAAAAAGAGTGTTCTCTATATTTAACAGAGAAAGCCAGTTTGATGTAGTGGTTAAAGGCACCAAGTTACAAACCAGGAGGCTGTAAGTTCTAGTTCTGCCTTGTACATAGTCAGCTGGGTGACTTTGGATCACTCTTTCTCAGACTTAGAAGAAGGCAATGGCAAACCACTTCTGAGAAATGTTGCCAGGAGTCAACACTGACTCAAAGGCATGATAATGAAAGAACAAACATTCAACAGAAGAAGGCTTGAACCTGGGGTTCTTGGAGATGGCAGGACTCTCAGCAAGTTCTCTCTCCCAGATTTTTCTTGATGGTCAAAGTCAAGGCAAGACAAAGCAAGTCACAGACATACCATGTCCTGAGTCATGGAGGGTTTTAAAGGTGACAAGCAGCACCTTGAAATGTATCCAGAAGCTAACTGGCAGCTGGTGCAGCTCCTGTGGGAGTGGGGTTACATGGGCAACCTCAGTGTGCCCATAATTACTGGGTTGCTTTATGTTGCATCCACTGAATATTTGGATGGTCTTGATTGTCTCTGTCTCTGTCTCTCTCCCCCCCCATCAGTCATATTTGTACGGCCACCCATCTCACAAGAGAGTGACTCTGGGCAGCATACAGCACTTAAATAAATAAGAAAAGCAATAAATCTGTATGAAAACAGTCATTATTAAAAACTATGAAAACTATAAAAAAGCACATGAAACAAGAGAGGATGAACGTTGTCAATAACGTACAAATACACCCAACCCATCCTCCCTTTTTAAAATTGCTTCCTTTATTGGTTAAAATTAACTGGCTTTCACCCTAATTACAGATCACCTTTTCATACTAACAATTTTATTAAAAGGGATAAGCTTTCAAAATTTAATAAAATTTGTTCTTCAGAAAAATCGCCGTCAGGCTTCTCCTAATTTTGGCTACCATACAGCTGTTCTCCTATAACGTTTGGAACTTCCTTGTCTTCCAGCATCCAACTAGTGAACTACCATCCCAGTACCACAAATATGGCTAAAACTGAGTAATTGTGAGCACAAAACTAATCATTGTCCTTTGCTCTTATTGGCTGGGTGGCAGGATTGCCTGCCATCCAATGCAAGACCTAGCCCTTACCTATGTCTCATTTTGTGAAAGAAAGCATCACTTTCTTTCACAAAATGAGACATAGGTAAGGGCTAGGTCTTTATTTGACTTTATTTATTTATTTATTTATTTATTTATTATTTATTTATTTATTTATTTATTTATTTGTACTATAAAGATAGGTTTAGTAATAACCTACGGAACTTAACTGGTGTCAAAGGTTTTGAAAGAGGTGGGAAACAGTACAGACAAAACACTAAGAATGATGGATTCTGTGTGGATATATAAGCATCAGCATTTAGGGAACAGCTTCTGTCTGCTCCAATTATTATAAAATAGCAAAATCAGGGAAAGCTCTTCACAGTTTGAAGCAGAACTACACTCTAAAACAAAATAGTTCTGCTCCAATAGTTCCCATTTCACATGAGAACTACAGAATTTCCAGCAGCCCGAATGCTACGTATGAGACGAAATCCAACACTGCATTCTGACACTGTCATTTAATTTACTTTATATTCCAAAGCATCAATAAAATGGCAAGAGGAGGCCAAAAAGGGGCGTGGGGGAAGAAACATCGTAAACAAAGCAAAGTGTTGCTGGGAGAGGCACTGAGCTGCCAGTTGTGCTTCATGAATCTCAAAAACAGCTAAGACTTCTGGAGTCAAGCAGGGCAAAGATGTTCTGGTGACACTAAGAAACCACTGGTTTCCACAGTACTTTTCCTAATGTGCTTTGGTGGTAAAAGGGAGACTCCCAAACTAACTTCTCAGAAAAACACTCTTTTCTTCCCTCCATATTTCAAGCTGTGCACCAAAAGTTAAACTATACTTTTCAGATAAAGTATTTTAGAAGTATTCATCATCATACCAAATTATTCTTTTAAAAGAGAAGTGATAAGAATACTATAGGGGTAATTTTACTGTATGATGATAAAACATTTGTAGCTGTCCTCCTGGGAAAAATGATTCCCTGAATGGAGTATGATGTCAACCTGTTCTCTATTGTACAACCTTCGTCTTCTGGAAATCTTACCGAATGGGGTCAATTCCCTGATACTTGTCTTTCCTTGGACAGTTTCATCTTGCAACAGAGCCAAGAGCTGCATCATTTCCAGAGTGTCCATAAACAATGTAGCCACAGAGCCTCCTACACTTTCCATTTAACCTACAGAAAGGCTGCAGAAGCCTTGAAATTAACAAAGAATGCTGAGTTCAGTCAAAGAACATTGAGTTCAATCACTTTCTTTTGAGCCCAGGATGAGTCTGATGGACAGCACCCATGAAGAGTCATGCAAACGGAGTGGCATCTGCAGGAATGAGAGGGGGTGCAAGGGGGGGGGGCAGGATAACAAAAGTAGTATCATGCTCTCACAGTGCAATTCTCTTTTCTATGTGCAGTGCAACATTCCATGTACAGAGCATGGGCAGAACTTTGGTGCAAAACTGGTTTCTCACTAAAGGGGCAGGTTGCAGACCCCACCAGTCAAGGAATTTCGATTGGTGGGGTCTAGGCAGAGAGCCTTTTCTGCTGC